GGTCCAATATTACCATCTCACCAGCCGCTGGCTAGTATGTTAAGTTTCCAAGGAAACCCCAGTGAAAGCTCTCTGACTTTGGACTCACCCAGGTACAAACGGGAAGACCAGTGCTTGGGCCATCTGTTTGCTTTGGACAAAACTCATACCCCGTGACCCTAATGGAACTCATCCTTCAAATTACTCAGAAGAAAGTCTCTCTGGGTGAATCTTGTTATTATAGCAGGGTGCAAAATGTACATACAAAAGGACAATTTTTAATTCAGGCACATATTTGGAGATCTGTCTTAAAATTCTTTACAGTTACAACTGGCTGAACCCTCTTTGTTTCATGTGGGAGTAAAAATCTCTGGGGATGGGCCAGAAATGTCTGGGATGTACTTGTAGAGGAGCTACAGGGACTCTCTGGGTCTAGTGTGAACATGGACTTGCACTGTTTTCTAACAGGCTGATGCCCTGATAATCTGTTATCAAACTAAAGGGATTGAGAAATGGGGCTGTGCTTGGAGTTTTCAAGTCTCTGATGATGCTTGACATTCATGTGATTATTCTATTTGCTGACATCTTCTGGATTTTGCAAAATTAAGTCATCTGATTATTCTATTTGCTGACATCTTCAGAATTTTGCAAAGTTAAGTCAAAGTTAAGAAGGTGATTTATCGAGAGGTCTTTAATGAATTGCAATTCATCGCTGCAGTAGCCTTGGATTTTAAATAAAAGATACATGTGTCCCCAAAATTAAGCATTAAAAGGAGAATTTAAGCAAGAATATTTAAACTTGTACATGTCTGTATTGTCCTATTGTTTGCCAGTGTCTTCTGATTGCTAGTGGAGTCGATCTGATGTGCCCCATGTCCTGGGCCTGTGATTTTTTTTTTTTTTTAATGCTCTTCTGGATGAAGATTTTGATTTTTTTTTCCTTTTCACTTAGTTTATGCTAAGTGAATCAGAAATACTAAGTGAATCAGTCACCAAGTGATGTAGATAAGAGGACTGTCAGACCCTTTATGTTTTGGAGTCAGCTTCAGGGTATTGGGGCTAGAAATCAAAAAGAAGAATGCAAAAAGATTCTAAATTTGGGGCAACATTTTAGTTTGAATGGATGGTTTGATATGAGAGGAGTCATCCCAGTAAGGAAGAAAATAGGAAAATTGGGTTAATAAATTCTTGTATTTGAAAAGCAGGAAAGAAACGAGGAAGGGGACATGTCAGTTAGCTTCACAGCAACCATCATTTTTATCTGTAACGATATCTGTATATTTTTATCAAAATATCTTGCTGTACACTTAAATGCAACTTTTATTAAAAATAAAAAGAATGCACGTGGAGTAGAAGAGTATAATCAGAATCAGCATCTCTTCATGATCTTTTTGAAAAAAATAATTGCTCTTTTGGATGCACTTTTTTCCTGGTGTCACTTTGCTCTTGGCTGGTTTGTCTAAAGCGACGATTCTTTCTGCTATCTCAGTGACCACGCTTTTAGAATAGAATATAGGGTGCCTGGGTGCTCAGTTGCTTAAGCAACTGCCTATGGCTCAGGTTATGATCCTGGAGTCCTGGGATCAAGTCCCCGTTCAGGCTCCCTGCTCAGTGGGGAGTCTGCTTCTCCTGCTGACCTCTCTTCTGTCATGCTCTCTCTCATTCTCTCTCTCTCTCTCAAATAAATAAATAAAATCTTTTAAAAAAAGAATAGAATATAATGCTCATTTCTGCTAAGAGAACCAGGAGTCATTGGGAAGCAGTGGGTTTCCAGCAAGAAACTTCAAGACATGGCTCAAGTAGCTTATTAACACAAAGCAAGGGTACTGTCAGAGGGATGGGGCTGGGGAAAAAATAGTAAAAGGCTAAAGGTCAGCCTGAAGACAGGTTTCTCATGACCAAGTCCCATCAAAAAGGACATAGCAGCTGTAGCCACTGCTATTTATTAAAACCAATTACTCTGGGAGATTATAAATGTCTAAAGCTGCTCCAAAGGAAGGAACATGTAATAAAAGTGTCCCATGTGAAAGGTATGACCACCAAGGTGAGCTAGTTGATTGACTGGTGCTCTCTAGCTCACAGAGATCAACCAGGAGGAAAAGAATTTATTTTGTCAAGAAGTACAGGGCATTCATTTTTCTGATGCAATGTCTTCCTCCTGGGAGGTGGTTTGAGTCATGCTTGCAACGTAGTGACAGGTGTTGCCATGCAGGCTGCTAAGACCAGATTGCTCATTGTTCGGGACCAGGCACCCCTTCTCCCAGTGCCAGGAGTGTTGGAGGCAGACAGCTTGATGAAAGGAAACTGCCTGGCCTGGGATCACATCCCTTTACAGTGGTAGCCCCCATCTATCATCACTGGAGACTCCACACCCTGCCATCCCTGAGGAAGGCTTCTGGAAGGCCCTACCATCTCCAGAGCTCCCTGTGGGATCCACTGGGGCCTTGGCTCGGACTGCATCACAATTCACCTGTCCCATCTTGCTCCCTTTGCTCCCTTGCAGGTGTACGGGTGTTGCTTCCAGGAATGTACCCCAGAAACCTTTCTGCCCTCATGCCTCCATCTCAGAGTCTGCTTCCCTGGGAACCAGTTTGCCTATATATAACTATGTTCTGCTTGAAATGTAAGAAATGCTTTGGAAAGACCAAAGTGACTAGCCTTGTTGGGTTGCTTGAGCAAGAACATTGGCACAGGGTAGAAATAGATGGCAGAGCTGAAGCCGAAGCTTCACCTGAGAAATTGCCACACCTGAGAAATTTACATTTGACTCACCCTCTGTCCCAATAAATATTCTAAAATGTGCTTATCTATTAGGCACCGGTTACCTACACCTGGGGAGCAGGCAGATTGGTGATAAGAGAGCTTCGACCTGGTGTCAGGGAAGGGCTGTGGGGATCCTTGTGAGAATGGCCACGAAGTACTTGCTTTTCTTATCCCAGTCTCCCATTTCATTACCAGCTCCTACTAGATTCAACTGTTTCTATATCCTTTGCCACTTACAGACCTGTACATCTTCAAAACTGTATCTGTGCACATAATTTTGTTAATATGAAACTTTGCCATTTTGATGGGTGTACCACCACCATTCTCGTGTCTGACCAAAGTAAAAAGTTGGGATTACCTTGGTTTCTTCCCTTTATCATATTTTCTATATCTACCTCCTAAATATCTCTACAATTCCATTTTCTTCATTCCATCTACCTCTTTCCCAGTTTAAGGACAAATATCTTTTTCCTAAACTATTTTAAGTCTTTTTAAATTGTCACTTTGCTCCTAGTCCTGAATTGGAATTCCATCTCCTACATCTATTAAATTCTCTAAACTTCTTCATTCTCAACTCTCCCTTCTTTTTTCTCTATAGACCTTCCTTGGGAGATCTCATCTACTTCTGTGGCTTTGATTAATGTTGATATGCTTAAGATAGGCTAAAGATGCCACAATATCCATTGGGGATGTTTCTCCAGGGATCCAGACCTTTCTACCTAACTGCCAGTTCTCAACCTGTCAAAAAAAGAATTGACCATTTTCTCCTCCAATTGTCTCTTTCTTCTCTCCCATTTTAATGAATGCCACAGCTTTCTTCCTGCTCAGCTACCCAAGGTATAGACCTGGGTGTGGGCTTTCATTTGTCCATCTCCCTAATTCCCCAAGTCAAGCCAACCATCCTTAACTCCATCTTCTTTAACATCTCTTGGCCTTATCTCTTACCACCACCCCTCTATAACTACCCTGGTCTTACCCCAAGGTCTCACCTAGCTTTTTTTATTTTTAAGCTAGATTTATGCATCAGTCTCTTAACTGGTTTTTTAGTCTGTGCTATCCTGCAATCCCTTCTTCATAGGTTAGTGAACACAGTCTTTCTAATCTGTAAACCCACATTCCTCTGCCTGAATTCCTTCAATGCCTACCCATTGTTCTTATAATAAATACCTTTGGCTTATAAAAACCCATTATAATCTGGTCCCTACTTGCCTCTTAAACAATCTTTCTCCCCACATACTCCCACTGTCACTCACAATAGTCCAGTCATTGGAATTCCTTGGTTTCTTGAATGTACAATGCTTTCTCTTACCTCTTTCACACCATGTTTTCTTTCCCTATTTTCTTTGCTTAGATGTGTTCGAGACTCCCTCATATAGAATGATCTTTGCCCATAATCATCACAGTATTTCAAAGAAATTTTTAGAAAGAAGGAATTCAGGGCATCATAAGTCATATGAGCCAATTTGGAGAACATGTTAGGAAAATGCAGGCTCTGCAGTTCCCTGAATATTTGCCAGGTTGTCCTAGTAGCTCTATGTGAAAAGAGGATGATGTAATCTTGTATGGGTTAACTCTCAAAAGTATCTATATTAGTGGTTCTAAATTGGGTTTTTTTTTGTCAAATGATACCATTTGACAATGTTGGGAGAAATGTTTGATTATCACAAGTGTGTGGTAGAATGCTAACTCACTGATATGAATAGAGGCCAGTGATGCAGTTAAAAACTTTACAGTGCATAGGGCAGCCTTCCATGTCAAAGAATTATCCAATTCAAAATGTCAATGGTACCAGAGTTGAGAAATCATGAACTACACAAAATTAAAATTTCATGTTTCACTCGGACACACTTTTCTATTCTAGGATAGAACATAAACAATATTCATCGTGCAACAAGACCACCAGAGTCCAGTCCTATCCAAAAGCTCTTGTTCTTATATTTTGGTTTTTCATCTTTAAAATGGCATTTTAATACCTGTCACATGGTATTGTTATAAAAACTAAATATGATGATGTATGAGAAAACCCTTAGTTCATTGTCTAGAGAACAGTAGTTTCTTAATAAAATATTTGTTAAAAAAAAATATCAAGTCTGACACATGGAAGATGGGATTTATGGGGTGGAGATGAATAGAATTTACCCTGAGTGGTTTCTGCATGTCTCACTCTTTTATAGGATCTGTACATGCATCACAACTTCTGAGAACACTTAAGAGAAGAATATGCATTGACAAAGATCCAAGGAGGTACACATACATACTTTTTGTTCTTCTCGCTCTATGGCTGCATTACACTTTTCTATTCCACAGCTCCTCAAAAAGTCTCTGAGATAGCCAAATAGGGTTCCAAGTCCATATCCCAAGTAAGTGAAAACCATCACATGAAGAGGTGCTTCCTCAAAGGATTCAACAAGTGGCTTATCGTAAACATGTGGCCACCCATTTTGCTGAAAACACAAAAGGAAACAGAAGGTTAGTTCTCTTCCATGACAATAAAACATATATTTAAAAAATTTTGGACTTTGAAGCTTTTAACTTTCAAAGAACACGTTTAAGATCATAAAAAGTGCTCAGAGAAAAATGGAAGTTGATCAGGAATGAGGGCAATCAGAAAGGTGCATTTTATTTTACAACCCCCTAATAAAATACTGGATTCAGGCAAAAATTCTCAACAGGCGCTAAATCCATTAAGTGAAAGGTTAATGAGGAACACAGTTTTTGTAAGATGTCAAAGTTATCACTCCCATCATCTACTCCCTAATCACAAATCTGAGGTTACTACCTTGACCGGGTGATCAAATTCCATCCCCAATGTTGGAACAAGAGCACTTGCGCTCTTATCAGAGTGTAAGATTCAATACACTAATGATGCATTTAACCTGAATTTAGTCAAGTTTTCATATCCAGCTTCCATTTCACCAGAAACATCAAGAGGAGAGGTGACAAATGACTTCATGAGGAAACAATCAGATAATCCACAATGTGCACAGCAAAGGAAATTATCAACAAAATGAAAAGGCAACAGATGGAATGGGCAGAAATATTTGCAAACCAAATCTCAAATGAAGAACTCATACAACTAAAAACCCCTCATGTAACCTGATTTAAAAATGAGCAAAGTCCTAAATATTTTCCCAAAGAAGACCTACAAATGGCCAATAAGTATGTGAAAAAGTACTCAACATCATTAATCTTCAGGGAAATGCAAATGAAAACCACAATGAGATACCACCTAACACCTATTAGGGTATGGGTATTATTGAAAAGGTAAATGATAACAAGTGTGGGTGAGGATGTGGAGAAAAGGCAACCCTTGTACACTACTGGTAGGAATACAAGTTCATACAACCATTATGAAAATGTACAACCCATATGAGGTTTCTCAAAAAATTTAAAAAACAGAACTACCACATGATTCAGTCATCCCAGTTCTGGGTATATATCTATAGGAAATGAAATCAGTGTCTTGAAGAGATAGCTGTACCTCCAAGTTCATTGCATCATTATTTATGATAAGCAAGATACAGAAATAATCTAAGTATCTGTAGATGGATGAATGGATAAAGAATATAAAATACTGTAGAATATTATTTAGCCACAAAAAAAGAAGGAAATCATGCCATTTCCAACAATATAAATGAATCTGGGCTACATGATGCTAAATGAAATAAGCCAGGTACAGAAAGACGGATATTGCATGAACTTATTTATATGTGGAATCTAAGAAATCTGATCTCACAGAAGCAGAGAGTAGAATGGTGGTGATGAGGGGGCAGGAAATAGGGGAAATGAGGAGATATTGGCCAAAGTATGTAAGTCTTAAGTTATAAGATGAATAATTTCTGGGATCTAATGTACAGCATGGTTACTACAGTTAATAACATTGTATAGTATACTTGAAATTTGATAAGACAATATATCTAAAGTGTTCTCACCACACACACACAAAAAAATGGTAATGAGGTGAGATGATGGATGTATTAATTAGCTTGGCTCTGGGAATCATTTCACAATGTTTACATATATTGTACACCTTGAATATAAACATTTTTATTTGTTAATTATACCTCAATAAAACTGGACAGCAGAAGAAAAAAAGAGGGGTGGCAGAAGAAACTTAAAAGACACAACCCAATGCAGTGTGTATTCATTCATTGGATCCTGTTTTGTTGTTGTAAAAACCTGGTTAAAAAAAATCCATATTTTGGGGCGCCTGGGTGGCTCAGTGGGTTAAAGCCTCTGCCTTCGGCTCAGGTCGTGATCTCAGAGTCCTAGGATCGAGCCCCACATCAGGCTCTCTGCTCAGCGGGGAGTCTGCTTCCCTCTCTCTCTGCCTGCCTCTCTGCCTACTTGTGATCTCTGTCTGTCAAATAAATAAATAAAATCTTAAAAAAAAATCTGTATTCTGAACAATTGCATAGGTCCAAATGTGGACCTAGGTTATTATAGGACCTATATTATTCCAAATCTTATTAAGGAATTATTGTTATTTTGTTAGGAGCGGTAGTAGTATTACAGTTATGTGAGGAAATACTTCAGGACATGCTGAAGTATTAGGGGAATTAAATGTTATGACACCTATAATTTTTTTAAATGGTCCATCAAAAACTGAACATATATATGGAACAATTTTGGGAAAATGTTAATAACTGTTGAGTCTATGGGGTGCCTGGGTGGCTCAAGTCGGTTAAGCATCCAATTCTCAATTTTGGCTCAGGTCATGGTCTCAGGATTGTGAGACTGAGCCCATGTCAAGCTCTGTGCTGAGTGTGGAGCCTGCTTAAGTTTCTCTCTCCCTTTCCTGCTGGCCCCCCCAACCCCAAATCTTTCTATTGCTCTCTTTAAAAAAAGTTACTGTTGGGTCTAGGTGGAGGTCATGTGAATGTTGGTTAAATTATTTTTCCACTTTTGAGTGTGTTTGAAATTTTTTATAACAGAAAGTTAGAGGAATTATTTCTTTGTATTAGGTGTCAAAATTCCAGTGGAAGTAACTTTGAGTACCAAGCCATTCTGATTCCTGTTTAACTGAATTGCATGTTATAACACAATCAATATTGGCTCAGTGGATTAGTGAGTAAATTTTTCCTAAGGCTAAGATTTAATTAAGTTTTAGTCTTTAATAAGTATTCATACATTCATTCATTATTTCACTCAACAAATATAATGCAATGCCCAGATTCTGCTTTTCTCAATGAGAAAGTATATGGACCATGTGGAATATATAACTTTTAGTGACTTACAGGAAATTGTCAAATGTCTACTTGTATTTAATGCATTAATTTAATTTACACATATATATTTAGAATAATGCATTATATAAAATCTTACTAAATAGAAGCATTGTTTTTGCTACTGTCATAATCTTTGTTGCCACAACAAACACTGTTTGATTCCATCATCACAGCTTTCCAAAATATGTCACCTTCCTTTCTCCTATGTTGTTTAAGCGGCAATATTTTAGAAATCTCTATGTGACTTAGTCACTGCAAGTTTTATCCCAAGCCCCAAAATATATGACAATCAAAGAAATCTGTCTGTAGATGAGTATTTTTTTATTTCTACATCACTTGTTTTAAAGTAATTTTTTAAAAAGCCCTTTTATGATGACATTGAACACTTGAGTTGTTAAGTCAAAACCCTCGTGAGATACTACTAAATCTTATTAAAATTCCTTGCCTTCTTATTTATGCATTCTGTCAGGTTACTTCTCTAGATCCTTCAAACTAACATGGATGGATGGATGTTGCTCTTGTCTCATATGACTTCCCCAAACATTACCTGGTGTCTCAAGTAATGACAGTGAGAGAGCATTGCTTAATATGAGGTCTTGAATGAGAGGTTATAACCATTGCCTTGTACTTGAGATTATAGGGAATGCAATGTGTGCCTACTGTGAGCTATGGGCAAGGTTCTGGAGATTCAAAGATGAACAAAACAGACCGGGTCCCTGGTTCCTGACTTCTTGACCTCCTTCTCACTATGTCCTCCCACCTATCCTGTAGGTCTGGTGGAGAGCTAATCTCAGTATTCTGATGCCAGCTCTGATCCTTAGCTCTGTTCTGTGCTTAACCTTTGGATTACTTCTGTGTTCTGCACTCCAAGTGACCTCCTAACCCAGTTAGGAACCATCTCCTGGCTCCTTTCACATCATGGGGACACATCATTGGTTTCCTTCTTTCCTCAATTTGTCAGATTCCAGGAAGGGACTTCGAGAGCCTCATGAAGGAGGATTTGATGAACTTTTATGACTGGTTAGGTACAAGATCAAGGAAGAGGGAAATGGAAAGTATCTGCAAGGAGAATTTTGTTATTGTTGATAAGAAGACAGGGAATTAGAAAGGGGGCTGCTTATGGGGGGAAGACTGAATTGGAGGTGGTTATGGCTCACAGAAGTGGGACCATTTGTCAGGCAGCGAGAGATGCAGGAAAAGTGAGAGCCCCTGGCTGAAACGGAGTCAACTGCTTCAAGGCACAGTCTAAGCCACAGTTAAAGGTGAATGTGATAAAGGACAAATTATAAAGAGAGAAGAACAGTGGGTTTGAGATAGAATTTGGGAACCCATTGATTTTAAGGGCATCATAGAGGAGGAGTGAGTGAAAGGGACTCAATACAGGTGACATCACACACAAATTAACTGCTTTAGTTGACTTAGAAGGTGGCTAAATATGAAGCCACATGTAAAGAGATACACTTCCAGGCCATCCTGTGACGATCAGCTGAAGATTTTCCCTTTTTTCTTTTTCTGGCTTGTATCCATTTCTGAGCTCTGTATGTGGCCAAATCAAGCACCACATTTCCCCTGAAATCCATGGGAACTTTCTGCTTGAACTGGCTCTGCGGCAAACCTGTAGTGCACAGAACAGATACCTAGATGCAAGTAATACTGTCAGTGGGGTGCACAGCCTGGGCTTCGGTGACTATATTTTTTTTTTTTTTTTTTTTTTTTGCCCCTTTGGCTTGTTCTGGAAGAAAGTTATAACATAAAGAAGAAATTGTCAACAAGGTCCGTCAGTTCAGACCAACATCTACTTTCTCTCATAAAACTTCATTTATTTATTTTAATTTAATGTAATTTTATTTGGCAGAGAGAAAATGAGATACCTTGATGGAGAACAAAGTTATTGGGAAATATATAGGTCTTTCTTAACAGATGGAAAGTGACTCATTAACAACATCCCTTTATTTATTTATTTATTATATATTTTTAAAGATTTTATTTATTTATTTGACAGACAGAGATCACAAGTAAGCAGAGAGGCAGGCAGAGGTAGGGGGGATGCAGGGCTCGATCGCAGGACCCTGAGATCATGACCTGAGCCTAAGGCAGAGGTTTAACCCACTGAGCCTCCCAGGCACCCCTATATCCCTTTAATTTAAAACTGAAGTCCATCATAACCTCTTGGGAAAGGTTTCTCAATCTGGGGTTGGATAGTTATTCTTAAATAT